AAAAATAAAAATGGGCTGGGGGAATATTGATCAGTGGTTAAGCACACCTGGATTCAATCCCTGGTACCAAAATAAAAAAAAAAATTGAATCTCTTGTCTATTTGTCTTCTGTAAGAATAGATAGCAAGTTTAGGGCCCCCTTAGGGAACTTTAGAGTGTGATGTATCTTCAGTCTCTGCCATGTCTTTGACTTGTCTTGGTTTTCAGAATTGCATGAAGTTGACCCAAGATCAGCTTCCCAGAAACACATTATTGGTCAATCATGTAGTTTCTGGAATTGAAGAGAAATGCAGAGATGATTCTTATCCTCTTTCAGATGAGGAGAAAAAGTAGGTGTCATTCAGGGAGGAAAGATGATAAATTCTCAGAATTGTAAATGGAGAATAAACTATCCCACAGAACTAGGAAAACCATCCCAGAGAATTCGTGCAGGAGCCTCCAAGGGAAAACTCACTATATGCAGATGGGAAGGAATACTGCAGAGCCTCATGGTGGGGATGGTCATACAGTATTTAAGCAAGTAAGAGGGGGATTGGAGAATGTCCCATTTCCGCCTCACTTTCTCCTTATCTATGTAATGTATTTTATCAGTCACATTTGAAAGATAGAAGAATTATTCCTAAGAGGACAGATATAGGCAAACTTCAGGAAAAAAATCATATGCAATTTAAGGTCAATTTTTGAGCCTGTAAAAGAATATCATGAATGGCTAAGATAGTTCTTAATGAGGAGTCTCCCTGGAGGTATTAACCCTCTGCTACCACCATTCATGAAAGAAGCCCTTAATCTGAGAGAAGGTACAGGGCATTAGAAAACTGGGGATCAAGAGGCAGAGATGTTTGTAATTGGGATATGATGGAGAGAGTGATGATCTATCTGTGGGTATAATTTTTATTGTTGTGGGGCTACTTTTAGACTGTTAGATTAGACAAATACAGATATAGGTAATAAGTGACATTTTTCCTAATATTGCAATAGTTGGAAAGCACCAAATATAAGATCTGGATGCATCTCAAAGTTAGGCTGTGAAGGGCTTGCTTTCATAGGGAAGAGCAAATAAAATGTAAAGAAGGTGAAAGAGGAATGGATAAATGGAGGGCAGAACCTTCAGATCCAGCTGGGCACACTAGCACATGCTAGTAATCACAACTACTCAGAGGTTGAGGCAGAAAGTTCACAAGATGTATGTTAGTGTGAGCAACTTAGTGAGATTCTGTCTCAAAAGCAAAAATAACAAATTGAAAAGGCCAGGGATGTACCTCATTGTAGAATGCCCCATTACTACAAAAATAAAATAAAATAAAATCAAAATGAAAGAATCCTTTACCCTGAAGCCAGTCTATACTTATGAGTTTTTAGAAAAATGGTGTGTATGTTGGTTTAGGCTGACATGAGATGGTTCAATGTTCCAAGGTTTGTACATAGGGGAGAAACTTAAGCTAAGTTTGGTTAACCAAAATTTTTTTCTGATCACTGAATGTGAAAGTGTTCAACTAAGGGTTTTTGTTTTTTGTTTTGTTTTTGTAGTGCTGGGGATTGAACCCAGGGCCTTATGCATGTGAGGCAAGCACTGTACCAACTGAGCTATATCCCCAGCCCAACTAATTTTTTTTTTTTTTTTTTTTTTGTGGAAAAACGTGGGACTTTGAAAAGTGAGTGTCTGAATCACCATAGTTAAAATAGGGGGATCATGTAAGTCATGATGAGAAGGGGCTATTTGCTGCTGAGGAGAGCACAAAAATTGGAGGGAATATCTTTAGCTATTTCCTAGGATTGCCTATGTGACCCATCTTCCATGCTCTGTACATGTTTTCTTTTTTTTAATATTTATTTTTTCGTTTTAGGTGGACACAATATCTTCATTTTATTTTTATGTGGTGCTGAGAATTGAACCCAGGGCCTCACACATGCTAGGCGAGCACTCTACCACTTGAGCCACATCCCTAGCCCTCTGTACATGTTTTCTATTGTCACTTTCCCAAGTTATATATTTTACAAGAAGTTGGTATACCTAAGTAAAGTGTGTTTCTTTGTTCCATAGTAGTTCTATCAAATTATGTAACTCAAGTCTGTAGTTGTAAGGATCAGAGATATTAGCCTTATTACTGGAAATAGCAAATTCCTGTCTTCAAATGAAATAAGTGCTAGGGATGTAGCCTAGTGGTAGATCATTAAGTTGCCTGAATGCAATCCCTAGTACAAAACAACATCAACAAAAACTCATCAAGTTTGAGTATTTTTACTCAATTCATGGTGCATACTTACTGATTAAAATTGTGTGGATAAAATTGGGAAGCAGAGAAGCCTGAGCTCAGTGACTTCAAGCAAAAGCTTATCTTAAACCTGCAAAGAGGTCCTTGAATATTCATATGTTCTGATGGCATTAGAGGCAGATTTTCAAGATGTGGGTTTGAGTCATAGATAATCACTCCTGACAAAGAAGCCAAGAGAAGGGGGAAGACTCAGAATGTAGTTGGTTTTCAGTTATGTTTCCCAGATCAAGGCCTACATTGAGTTTTATTCCCCAAATACCTTGTATATAAAACTTATAAACTCCCATCACTACAATTCATATTTGTGTTTAACATGTTTTAGCTACTTAATTTCTTTTTCTTCTCACAGTAGTTAATTTTAGCTCTTGAAATGATACATTCCCTACATCCGGAGACTTGCCTCCACTCTTACACTTTAGTCTTACTCATATCGTGAATTCATGACCTTCAGCATTGAATATATTTAATTTTTGACAAATAAATCTACTACCCTAGATTTCCATTGGGGGTGTTGGTGGGTCATTAGATATTGCTAAAGAAGAAAACCATGCTTCCTTTACATTCCAACTGGACACTCTATCAACTTTAAGTACACAAGAATGAATAAAATGTACATTAAAATCAGATAATATTCATTGCCCATAGTAATTTAGAAAGTTCTTGAAATAAAGAATAATTAGAAGAGACATATCCTCTAGACTATTAAAGAAACTTTTGAACTACACTATTAGCACTTACTGAGCATAGAAGTATATGAAATGATTGTCTGATCAGGAGTAGGTTGACTTTGTGCTTTGCTTTTTATTTTGTTTTGTTTTGCAAGTGATATCACAGCAGTGACTTTGTGTCCTTTTATTTACATTGATATTTTTATACCATATATATCTACCAGATTCTTTCCCAATAAAGATAATTGATTCTTTTTATTATTAAGTATCTTTTCAGAATTTTTAAGAATAATCTATATAAATCATCATATTTGATACATATTCTTCTTTCTTTGTAATTTCTCTTTGCTTGTGGCTTGCTTTGGGGAATGTAAACTCTTAGTTTTTGTTTACCAGAGATATCAGCCTTATTACTGGAGGTTCTGAAGCAAACACTAGTTCTGTATGTTTTCATTTTATTCCACTTCGAATTCAAAGACATACACATAACATCCTCCCTACATTTTCAGTAAAAGAAACAATTTCCAAGTGCTTTAAAATTCTTAAATATAGCTCAAAAATGATGGATGAAAGAAAACCTACCATTGAAAATACAAGTCTCAGAAACTCTCTTTTCTTTCTATTCTTTATTGCATGTATCTCAATCATGTGATTAAAAAGCAAAGCATCAACCCTAAATTTATTTATAAGTTTGATACAATTAAATTTATTTTTTATTTACATGAAAAAATTTAATATATGAAAGCTGCCATTTTTAATGTGTGTGCTAAAATATAAAATATCACTTGATTTTGCTGCTTTTTTTCATTAGTTCTAATTAGCTATACATGACAGTAGAATGATTTTGACACACTGTACACAAAGAAGTATGATTTCTCATTCCTCTGGGCTGTACATGGTGTAGAGGAACACCAGCAGTGTAATCGTACATGTGTATATAGGGTAGTAATGTCTGTCTCATTCTATCATCCTTCCCTTCCCTACAGCCCCACACCTCCCCTGACTCCCCTCTGCACAATCCAAAGTTCCTTCATTCTTCCCTCCACTCCGCCCCTACTTATCAGAGAAAATATTTGGCTTTTGGTTTTAGGGGATTGGCTTATGTCACTTAGCATGGTATTCTCTACTTCCATCCATTTACCTGCAAATGAATAATTTCATTCTTCTTGATTTTACTGCCTTCTTAATATGTGTCCATTTCCCTTCTCAGTTAAAATAACTGACCATCCTACTCTGAAATTTCTTTTAATTCCATAGTTTATTTTGACCTTTATAGTCTATTTTTTTTGTTTAATGAATAATAGTTCAGATAAACTTGGGCAAAACCCAGGTGCTACCATATACTGGAGATTTGACAAAATGTCCTAAAAGATAAAAACTATTACTGCCTTCATAGATTATTTTGAGATTTATTCATTAAGATACAAAAAACTCTTGGAGAGATATCTATATTTTTAAGGGAGAGAAAATTCTTATTGCAATTTGCCATAATAATAAAATGTATATAAGCCTTAAATGTTTGAATGCAAATTCATCAGCCTCCTTTGGACCATTGGCATTTGCATCACTATAGAGCTTGCTACTTACTCAAACCCAAACCACATCTTAGAAATACAGAATCACTGTCTGTCCTTTAGTAAATTCTCCAATACATGGTTGCACACATTAAAATTGAGAATCACTCTCTAACTCACTGTAAGATTCTTATCTGAAAAGTATACATAATTTCTCTTAAAAACATAAGCAATTAAAATATATATTCTGTTTCTTTTCTTAATTTTACATTTTATTTCATAAAAGTGTAGTATGTACACTGATTTTTGTTGTTGTTTGCTTATTTTGGACTTATGTCATTCTCTCTCTTGAGACATTCTCTTTCTTCAAACTTAGATAATATGTTAGAGAACATTACTATATTAAAAAATGTCATATTGAATGATTAAGTTCACTCCCCTATGTGAAAGCCAATTCTAACTCTCATTACAATTTGTGTCAAGTTAAAAACTGTGTCAGTGATCATATGGTTGATGTGATACTTATTTACTCATTTTTATTTCAGGAACCCTTGACATTCAGGGATGTGTTCATTGATTTCTCTGAAGAGGAATGGGAATGCCTGGATTCTGCTCAGCAGACTTTATATAGAGATGTGATGTTAGAGATCTATAGAAACCTGGTATTTTTGGGTGAGCATAAATTTCCTTTAGAATTCCTAATTCATTGTCAATATTTACTTTTCTTCCTTTGTAGAATATTTCTTGGAAGCTTCTGTTCTGCATGAAAATGTTATAGATTCTTGTTTTTAGGATGAAGATTGGGCTTTTTTGAGTAGAAAATAAAATGTTAAAGGTATTTGTTTTTATATTTAACCTATCTTTTTTATTATTCTTTTTACTTTTGATAGTTCAAAATAGTGCTCACAATCAGAAGATTGAAAATATTTCTAAAGTATTTGAATGATTCTGCCAGGAAAAAAAAAACATTTGGAATAACAATTGTCTAGAATCTTCTATGATATATATATATATATATATATATATATATATATATATGTATATATATATGTATGTATGTATGTGTATATATATATATATATATATATACATACATACATACATACACACACACACATATATTCTAATGAGTACAGCATTAATATTGTTTCTATTAAGAAACAATAGTAGTTACAACAACAGTACCACAATGAGTCATATTCCATTTTCCAATAAACACATCTTGTTCTAAGTCATCCTTAGTCATCTTTCTGTCCCAAAAGAAATAACCTTGGAATTTAAAGAGAAAAGCTACAGTAGCCATATCAAAGTGAGTAGAAATCAATGAAGCAAAGGACACATAGAAGAGGTCTAAATGTCAAAGATGAAGTCACATTTTGAAATGTTAATTGAGAAGCTATAAATCAATAGAATGCTTTTTCAAACCTAAGTTTATTTCTGTTGCAATCATTGAAGATCATAGCTTGTCCTGTTTATCATGCTTTCTAATTCTATAAGCTCTTTCTTTTTCTCCAGTCATCTCCCTACTTTCAAATTAACAACCATCTCCCCAGTGCCTGTGAGGGTGTGCATAAGTTGACAGACATTTATCGATCTTGAAAATATGCACACATTTGTGCCTACCTCTAGCTTAAACAACCTCAATGTATTAAAATCAAAGAACAGGTTCTCTGATTTAAATATTTATTCTTTCAAATTTTCTCATCAAAGCTTTGTATGAAAGCTTATCCTGGATTTTCTGGGAAATTTTTCTGCCATGTAATGGATATGAATCAGTCACAATGCTTGCTCTTAGTGGCTATATAATTACAGCTGAAAATTGTGGTTTAAATAATGATTCTTAAATAAGAGTCATTCAAAATTTTTTGAGTTAAATTTTCTCTCATTTTTGTGTCTCTTTTTGAGTTTCACTGTTTAGAGTAGCTTCAGTATTGTGCCATAGATTTTCTCACATCAGTGAATATTGTTTTCATTTTACACATATAAGTTATAATTGGATAAAAATTTTTATGACTTCACATTTTAGGACAATATTAGTCAAAATTAAAATATGTATGAACCATTTAATTTTCAATTGAATTACATATGCTTTTACATGCTTGTATAAATATTACCCCAGTTTTGTTTATGACTTGTGTATAGTCTCTTTTTTTTCTTTTATGCCACTGAGGATTGAACCCAGGGTCTTTTGCAACCAACTGAGTTGTATTGCCAGCTTTAGTATCTTGATTGTTTACTCTGCTTAGGTGATTATTCATATAATTCATCTAAATTTTATGTGTGTGTTTATATAATTTCCATGTATTTTTATATATTATAGTATTTTGCAATTAATTTTATCATATATTATGTACATTTATATAATAAAATTTAGATGAATTATATGAATATTTAATATTATATGAATTTATATATATATATCCCCCCCCCACCCCCGGGATTGAACTCAGAAGTGCTGTAATACTGAGCTACATCCCCAACCACAATTCTACTTTTATTTTGAATCAGGTTTTTGCTAAGTCATTTTTTTTTAATATTTAGTTTTTAGTTGTAGTTGGAAACAATACCTTTATTTTATTTATTTATATGTGGTACTGAGGATCAAACCCAGTGCCCCACACATACCAGATAAGTGTGCTACCACTGAGCCATATCCCCAGCCCCAAGACTTTAGCATTTTAAAGGTAGCTCACAAAGAATGTTACAATTCTGTTTATCTTTTATATTTTTTTCAAATTTTAATTGTGATCAAAACCATTACTTACTTTCACTTAAACTTACTGTCTTACATATTTTAAATATACTGTTCAGTAGTGTTGTTTCAAATTATTTGGTAACATATTTCTGGAAAGCTTATATCAAATAAAAGTAAAATTCAATTCTCATTAAAAGAATTTGTCTCTCACCCTTCCATCCCAAACACCATTTCTTCTGGCCTGTATGTTTGATTATTTTAGATATCTCATAAGTAGAATCACATGGTATTTGTCTATTTGTTAATGACTTCTTTCAGTTCACATAATATCATAAAGATTAATCATTATAGATGTTATAAAATTTCTTATTTGTAAAGTTGAAAAACGTTTCATAGTTTTCTTCAAATTTCCTTCATCCACTCATAGGAAAGGATATTTCATTTGTGTTACATATTTGGCTCTATAGAATTATGTTGTAATGAGCACAGATGTGTAAATATGTCTTGATTTGACCATCAAATCAAGGGCCAATTGCTACGCTGTCAGTTTTGTTACATATGTCAATTTGTCTAACTTCATTTTAACATAAAACTATTGGATATTGTACCTTTTATTATTTTATTTAATTAATTTATTTATTTTAATTGTAGTTGAACACAATACCTTTATTTTATTTATTTATTTATTTACGTGGTGCTGAGGATAGAACCCAGGCTTGCATGTGCTAGGCAAGAGCTCTACCACTGAGCCACAACCCCAGCCCAACCTTTTATTATTTTTATATCAGAAAGTATTTGTTTTATTTTGAATATGATTTAGTTGTTTATATACCCTGGATACTTAAAAAAATTTTTAAAATAACATTTTGTTTCTCCAAAAAGTTATATTGAATATCTGATAGGTAATACATGGACTTTCTTTAGAACTCTTTGGGAGGTAAAGGCACTTTCTTTTTGTACCAGGATTGAATCCAGGGATACTTATCCACTTAGTCACATCCCCAGCCCTTGATTTTGTTTGAGACATGGTCTCCCTAGTTGCTGAATCTGGCTTTCAACCATTGGTGAATTATTGGATATTACTTCTACTTTTGATTTCCAACTAACTACATTATGTTACAAAGCAATTTCAATATTTTAATAATGATTAACATTTGTGATTTTTTTTACCAAGTCTCTTGGAGATAATATTCCATGAACTATTGAGAAGAATGAATCTCTAAATCTAGTTGGTTCATAATACTTTTTGAAGTTTTCTAATACCTGAGTATATTCCCAATGCTTTTTTCTTCCTTTGCATTAATTGGGGGTTGATGTCCTCTACAATTACTGTGTTGCTTTCTATGGTGTTGAATTCTCTAGTGTTTGCCATCTATATTTGGGAAGTGTGATTTGAGTTTCACATGTATTTATTACTGTTTCATTTCAGAGAAGGGCCACTTTCATCTTTATACAATATTCTTTGTCTCTTATAATCTCTTATTTAATAAATTTTGTCATCTTTACACTTTTAAATGTAATATCCATTTCATACTTTTATTTTAGTCTTTTTTGTGACCTTAGATGTAAGGAGAATATCCTGTAGGTTTAGATATGATATAGTTATGTATTTTTAGTTTTAATCTTATTAGTCATGTGTTCTGAGTGGTGTTTGATAATAGTGCATTTGTACTTAAATTACTGACTAGCAGGAACTTTGTACTATAACTTTGTTAGATTTTTTTTTCTTAAATTTTTTTCTACTTTTAAAAAACTGCTTTAATTTGTGGTTTATAAATTTTTATAGTGACATGTTTTGATTCCTACCTATTTCCTTTTATATCTTCTATATCTATTTTGTTACTACTTGGAATTATATAAAAGTACTTAGTTAACACTGTATTTTAAATTGAACTTCAGTTCCTTATAAAAATCTGTGTCTTTACACGTCTTATTAATGTTTTATTATTGATATCACAGCTGATTTTATACCTTATACCCATTAACAGCGATTTATGATAATATTTATGCTTTAGTCTTTTATATTCTATAGCAGAATTAAATGTTTTATGGGCCACCATGATAGTAAAATGGAGTTTATGTTTGTGTGTATTTTGTTTTTCCTCAAAAGCTTTCATATTTTAGTGACTTTTGTAGCTATGCAGCTTTATTTTATTGGAAAGATTCAGTTTAGTAAGTCTTGTAGGATAGGTCTAAAAGTGAGGATATTTTTGAGCATACCTTGCATATCTTGAAAGCCTGTATTTTTCATTACGTTTGAAGAATAGGATTTGTTGATATAGTCTTCTAGGTTGATATTTTTTCTTTTAACACATGACTGTATGCTCCAATTCCTTCCTAGGCTTCAATTAAGAAGTCACCTATTAACCATATAAAAATATCTTTATAGATGACACCTCTCTTTTTTTCTTGGTCTGCTCAAAAAAGTTCTCTTGAGTTTTAATGCTTTAATTATAATTGCTTTACCTTGAGTCTTTGAATTGAGTTTGTAACATTTGATGTATTTTCCTCCCTATATTTCTAATTTCTCAGACATTATTTATTTTCCGGGGGCAGGGGGGGTGCGGTGTACCAGGGATTGAACTCAGGGGCGCTCAGCCACTGAGCCACATCTTCAGCCCTTTTTTGTATTTTATTTATTGACAGGGTCTCAGTGATTTGTTTAGTGCCTCCTTTTTGCTGAGGGTGGCTTTAAACATGTGATCCTCCTTCATCAGCCTTTTGAGCTGCTGGGATTACAGGTCTTATACATTATTTCTCAAGGAATATTTCTAGTATACAATTTCTCCTTTTGTCATTATTTTTTTTCTGAATTTTATTCACTTTTTTTCATTTTTTTGGGGAGTATTTATTTATTTATTGCAGTGCTGGGGATTGAACCTAGGATCTTGAGAATGTTAGGCAAACTCCTTAACCACTGAACTATACCCACATTCCCAGGCCTGGTATTTAGTTAGCATTTAATGCAGCTGTTTAGAGTATTCACAGGAGATTGATTTTGGATCTTTGCTGTGGATACAAAAGTCCTTGAATACCAAGTCTCTTATATAAAATAGTGGCACTTTTCTTTATTCTTAATTAGTTCATTAAAGATCTTTTAAATGGTTAATTGGCATTCTTTATATAATTAACAACTCTCAGTTTCCTAACTCTCAATTTCTAGTGTTTTATATTGTTTCTTTGCTTGAGTCAATTTTCCCCTTTTTCATGTGTGTGTGTTTGTGTGCTGTTATTTTCATTCAGATTTTTCCATTTAAAAACCCCTTAAAATAGATCACTCTAGTCATTTTAGACAATGTTTGGAATTTACCAAATAAACAAAAATAGGTCAGGTATATAAAGGGTTGTGGGTGTAGTTCAGTGGTAAATGCCCCTATGTTCAATCCCAAAGTACCCCCCAAAGATAAAAGGGAGAAAACCACTTTCTGAAATGTTTGAGTCACATGTAGAATCTGAACAGTTTGAACTGAGAGACTATGTGATTTGATGGTGTTGTGGAAACATTACTTAAAGTCTAAGTGTTGTGTTCACCTGTGGTGCTATGAAATCTCAAGATGGTTTTGGAAGTTCTCATAAATAAATTTTTTCAGCATATTGAGTTCATATACTTCTGGATTAATGATGGCCCTGGATTATACTGATTTCTTATTTATATATTCACCTTGATAAAACTTTATATATTTGCAAATTTTTATATTCATCACAGTAAGTGGAATAATTTGCTATTTTTACTTCTTTCAGGTATATGTTCTCATCAAGCCCAAGAATTTGCACCAGAGCAGGAAATAAAATATTTATTCCAAAATATGAAAAAGGAAAGGTATGGAAAATATGACATTGAAAATTTACTTTTAAATAAAGAATGCAAAATTGTGGGAGGGAATATAGGTCAGAAAAATTATTTTAATGAACATAACAAATGCATGACTATTATTTAAAATTAAAATTATACTGTCATCAGGTATCAGTAACATAACATCTCAGAAGACTGCTTAATTCATGTCAGTAACTTTTGAGGACCTATGTGTGCCTTTAAATACATTTTCATAGCATTTTTTACATCATATCTTGCCTCTAAGTAAATTTGGAAATTTTGCTATGGAGACTATTCCATGCTTCAGTTAGTAAGTGGAATATTTTGAAACGTAGCATTGAGTTAAACATTCACTCAAACATTTCTCTAGACAGATTAAAAATTAGAAAACAAATTTCTGACTGATTAATCTGATCATTACTTTACAAAAAGGCTGCAATGAAAAAACAATTCCACCTGTGCTAAAGCATAGAATTTTGATGAATGTGAGAAGAGTTGTACTTACCTATTGCTTAATCAAATTTTAGATATAGATATTTGAAGAGACTTCTACATTTATGATGAATCTTTCAAGATGTGTACCTAGGTCTTTTCCCTAACTAATTACCAGTATATTTATTTTGGTGTTAAAAAATGTAAATTCTGTGAAACTCATAAGAATTTATTTTTTTAAATCTTAGAAAACATCAGTGTGATCATTTTAAACAGAAGCTTCACAAAGATAATAAAAGTGAGAAAGTTTTTAATCGAGTGTCAAAATTTATCTATCCAAGCTTTGATATTCAAGAAAAGAACGACAAATGTATAGGACGTTTAAGAGCTTTAAATAAAATTGCAAGCATTACTGAACACCAGAAAATTCATACTGGAGGGAAGTCCTACAAATTTAAAGAATGTGTAAAACCATTTAAAGATTACTCAATCCTTTATCATAGCAGTGACAAACCCTACATATGTAAAGAATGTGGTAAAGGTTTTAGTCAACCTTCAACCCTTACTAAACACCATATGATTCACTGTGGAGAGAGCCCATACAAATGGAGGAAATGTGTCAAAGTCCTTAAGTATCACTCAACCCTTATTAAACACCACAGTATTTATAATAGAGAAAAGCTCTACAAATGTAATGAATGTGGCAAAAGTTTTAATCGAAGCTCAAACCTTATTGTTCACCGTAGAATTCATACTGGAGAGAAGCCATACAAATGTGAAGAATGTGAGAAAGCCTTTCATCAAAAATCACACCTTACTCAACACCAAAGGAATCATTCTGGAGAAAAGCCCTACAAGTGTAAAGAATGTGGCAAAGCTTTTACTGTTAGGCCAAGCCTTATTGCTCACCAGAGAGTTCATACTAGAGAAAAGCCATACAAATGTGAAGAATGTGGCAAAGCTTTTAATGAAAAGTCACACCTTATCTGCCATCAGAGAATTCATACTGGAGAAAAGCCATACAAATGTAAAGAATGTGGCAAAGCTTTTACTGTTAAGACAAGCCTTATAGCTCACCAGAGAATCCATACTGGAGAAAAGCCATACAAATGTAAAGAATGTGGCAAAGCTTTTACTGTTAGGCCAAGCCTTATAGCTCACCAGAGAATTCATACGGGAGAAAAGCCATACAAATGTAAAGAATGTGACAAAGCTTTTACTCAAATCTCAAAACTTATTATTCACCAGAGAATTCATACTGGAGAAAAACCATACAAATGTAAAGAATGTGGCAAAGCTTTTATTGAAAGATCATACCTTACTCAACACCAGAGTTTTCATACTGGAGAAAAGCCGTACAAATGTAAAGAATGTGGCAAAGCTTTTTATCTAAACTCAAAACTTACTGTTCACCAGAGAATTCACACTGGAGAAAAGCCCTACAAATGTAAAGAATGTGGCAAAGCATTTAATCAAAACTCAAGTCTTAATGTACACCAGAGAATTCATTCTGGAGAGAAACCATACAAATGTAAAGAATGTGGCAAAGCATTTAATCAAACCTCAAGTCTTAATGTACATCAAAAAATTCACACTGGAGAGAAAACACACAAATGTAAAGGCCATGGAATGAGGCAAAATTGTTAAGTAATCCCTCAAGTGTTACCAAGCAGCAGAGAATTCATACTTGAGAGAATCCTTACAAATATAAATGTTAAAAAGCATTTATTGTGACATCATACTTTATTGATCACCAGATAATTCAGAGTGGAACAAAGCCCTACAATTGAAGAAAAAATGTGGCAAAGTTTTTATTCAAAGTTCAGCATTTTAAAAATGTCAAACATTATAGTAGGGATTAAACCCTACAAACGTAGAGTATGTGACAACACTTTTAAGAGAAGCTCCCACCTTACAAATCACCACCATAGATATAGTACCTGAGCCCTATAAATGTAAAGAATATGTCAAAGCTTTATTCAAATGAAAAAATTATACATTATCAAAACCTAATTCTTGTTAATATCTGCATAAAACCCTCTGTCCAAGATGCATAGCTAATATGTCAGCAAAATGTTTAACATTGAGAAAAATGTTGACATATGAGAAAAATACAGCAAAGTCATTGTTTTCCATATATTTCTGAAATGAGCATTATCAGAGAATTTCTATAAGTATAGAAAACATGGCATTACTTTTAACAGTTTCTTAAAATTTACTGGGCATCATTAGTTGATGTGATAGAAATAAAGTAACCCTCAGATATCAACATAGTGCAAATAGCTCATCCCTGAAAAAAAAAATTTGTTTATTACAAATAAAAAATAAATATATATATACTCAAAAACTGGAGAAAAGTATTTTTTCCTCTAGGTAATTATATCAAAGGAAAAATACTCATTAATAAGAATTTTAAATTTGACTTTTTTCTTGTGGTGGTGATGAGGATTGAACCCAGGGCTCTCGAATGCTAAGCAAATGTTCTACCACTGAGTCACATCCGTAGCCAGTGTATTCTGTATTTTGTGAAGACTTTGCAATTATATTTGAAATACTTTATTCACATTGTGAAAGAATTTTATTACAAAATAACAGTGAATGTTTCTGAATTGTTAACACTATCATGTATTGAATTACATTTTATGATAGTTTGTAGACAATGAAGAGATACTGTTTGGTAAACAATGTGACATTTCTTTTAATCCTTTTAGGCAATGTAATCAATCTTCAAATTATGTGGAGATGATTTAATCATTTCTAAAGAAACTGGCTCAATAAATTGTGTAGCTTAATCATTTCTCATTTTTATATTTATTGTGGACAAAGACACTATAGGAAATATAATGAAAGATGATAACAAATCCAGATTGCTAAATCTTAAGTTACTATTTCAAAATTTTATTCTATAATTTATGGGTGTTTTACTGATATATTGATATCCCTTCATGTCATGAACATTGGTTTTGATTGAAATTTATTTGAATATACAAATTTTCTGATCTAATGGTAAAGTTTGGGAGTAAGTATGATAGAAGTAGTAATTCTCTCTTTCTGTCTCTCTCTCTTTTATGTGTGACAGAGAGAATGGATGTGTTTGCTTATGCCTCTGTTTAGAAACAAAATAACTTATTTAATGAAACAGAATTTCAAGATTTTTCATGATTACTAGTAAACTATAAACAACAAATATCTTTTAACAATCTTCTGAGGTACACTAAACTCATTTCTTCCAAATACATGATTCCTGATTTAAAAATCTTGCCACACCAATTTTGGCCTTTCTGTTTGCTTGTTACTCATGGAACATGTAACATATAACTTTTTGGTTTGAAACTTTTATAATACATTGCTATATGATCTGTTCAGAGAATTTAAGAATAATTTTAATGATAGTTACTGGTATTCAGAAATTAGTTTGAAAGTATTATTTCACAGTAAGAATATTAACAAAACATTTGTTTTATTAATGTACTTCATTATTTTTTTCTTTATGAAAAACAGTTATTTCAAATTTATTGCTTCAATTTATTGGACATCTTAAAATTTAGACAATTTATTGAGCCAGTTTCTTTAGATGAAAACTGCATAGATTTCATAAGACATGAGGTTGTTTTGAACTTTCTATGAAATAAAAAATTATGAAACAGTGTTGGATATGTAATAAGTACTCCTTAACTGGGAGAAAAAAATGGTTGTATTAGAATCAGCTAATTTCTCCATCTAGGAATGAAACATCTGGGGTGAAGAAATGACATTAATTCTGTTAATTTAGAGTGAGGAACACTTCAATTCTGCACAACTGTGAATTTAAGAGATTTTTATTTTATTTATTAATTATCTCAAATTTCTCATTAAATCTTTAACTTTCAACAACACAAGCATGACAACTATTTTTTATTGCCAGTGTTATGACTAGTGTTTTCACTTTGGTAAATCCAAGTCTTCTTACAGGATTTTTTTCTTCTTTCTTTGCTTTCTTTCTTTCTTTTCTTTTTTTTTTTATTTTCATGAGTATACTAACATTTTACTAAATTAAATATATAGTATATTTTGATGATTTCTGTGTCTTGATTTTAAATTTTCTTGATTTCTGTGTCTTTATTTTAAATTTTCTTTAAAAATTACTTGGAAAATTACAATTGTGGGGTACAGAGTGAAGTTTCAATCCATGAATACATTATATAATCAAATCAGTAATTTCATGTGCTTCACCTCAAGATATTTTTCTTGATATGGTAAGCAACTTATGAACACTTTCTTCTAGTTTTCTTGGAATTAATAGAATATCATTAATATGTATTCTCCCTACTATGTAATCAAGCCATAAATCTTACTTTCCCTATTTTCTATTTTCTAGTTTCTACTTTCCCTATTGTCTATTTTCCCCTTGAGATGTATCTTCTCCACTTCCCATACTCAGGGAGCCATAATTTTACTCTGTACTTAAATGACATCAACATTTTTTAATTTTACCCATCAGAACCTGCAGTGCTTGTTATTCCTTGTGTAGCTTATTTTACTTTGTTCAAGTTTCTGTAGGTTAATCTGCACAAAGACATTGTTTTTATAGTAAAATTAAGCATCTTTTTTCATTTGCTTATTTGCTATTTGTTTTCTTTGGAGTAACATATATTTAAATCATCTGCTTGCTTTTTATAATTGGGTTCTTGGGCTGATGCCCAGAAGAGGTGGACCAGAGTGACCCCAGCCTGACCTGCAGAGAAGGTGAATAACTGCACATTTGAGGAGGAGAGTGATCAGAGTGCAGTTCCCCCCATCTACCAACTTGGCTGTCCAGCCCACTTCCATCTAGAGACAACAGCCAGGACCTGGAAGACCATCAAGTTGCCAGCAGGCCTGGTTACACCAGAGGCAACGTTTTGGTATCCTGCAAGGACACTACAGGACTATAGAGAAGAAACTGTAATACCTCAGATCTGCACTGGCAGAGAGAAACATACATGAATAACATGAAAAAACAAGGGAAGAAAGTGCCCCAGATAAACTAAGATAATACAAAAATAGAATCCATTGACAGCACAGTAAATAAAATGTCAGAGAAGGAGTTCAGAGTGTACATAATAAAGGTGATCTATAAATTAAACACTGACAGAACAAATACAGGCAATAATTGATCATTCCAATAAAGAGATAAAGAGAGCAAATACAGGTAGCAAAAGATTACTTCAAGATAGAGATAGAAATACAAGAGGCTTACAGGACATTAACTGTACAAAATTACAACAGATCTACACCAAGGCACATTATAATGAAAATGCCTAGCATACAGAATAAGGATAGAATCTTAAAAGCCACGATAGAGAGAAATCAGATCACATATAGAGGGAAACCAATTCATATCTCAGCAGATTTTTCAGCCCAGACCCTCAAAGCCAGGAGATCATGGAACAACATATACCAAGCTCTGAAAGAAAATGGATGCCAACCAAGGATCATATCCAGCAAAACTAAGCTTTAGATTTGATGATGAAATAAAAACTTCCATGATAAACAAAAGTTGAAAGAATTTACCACTAGAAAGCCTGTACTACAGAACATCCTCAGCAAAATATTCCACACAGAGGAAATGAAAAATAATGATGAAAATCAGCAGAGGGAGGTATTACACTAAAGGAAAATCTAATCAGAGGAGGAGAAACCAAGTCAGGTTAAATACCAAAAATAAACAAAAATGGCTGGGAATACAAATCATGTCTCAATAATAACCCTGAATGTTAGTGGCATAAACTCACCAATCAAAAGAAATAGACTAGCAGATTGAATTTTAAGAAGGACCCAACAATATGCTGCCTCGAAGAGACTCATCTTATAGGAAAAGACATCTGTAGACTGAAGGTAAAGGGTTGGGAAAAATTATACCACTCACATGGACTGCGGAAGCAAGCAGGGGTTTCCATACTCATATCAAATCAAGTAGATTTCAACCTGAAGTCAATCAAAAAGAATAAAGAAGGACACAGCATACTGCTCAAGGGAACCATATACCAACAAGACTTAACAATTATAAATATGTATGACCTAAACAATGGAGCATCTATGTTCATCAAACTGTTCTCAAGTTTAAGAGTCAAATAGACCAGAACACAATAATTTGAGGTGACTTTAACACACCTCTTTCATCCCTGGATAGATCTTCCAAACAAAAGCTGAACAAATAAACTATAGAATTCAATAACACAATCAATAACTTAGACTTAACTGACATATATAGACTATTTCATTCTTTAAATACACTTTCTTCTCTGCAGCACATGGATCCTTCTCTAAATAGACCATATATTATGCCACAAAGCAACTGTTAGTAAACATAAAAAAGTAGAGATACTACCATGTATTCTATCAGATCATGATGGAATGAAATTAGAAATCAATGATACAATAAGAATTAAAAGCTACTCCAACACCTGGAGACTAAATAATATGCTACTGAATAAACAATGGGTTACGGAAGACATCAAGGAGGAGATTTAAAAATTTTTGCAGGTGAATGATACAACATATCGAAATCTCTGGGACACTATGAAAGTAGTTCTAAGATGAAAGTTCATTTCATGGAGTTCATTCCTTAAAAGAAGAAAAAGTCAACAAATAAATGACTTAACATTTCATTTC